GTTCTAGATGGTCTAAAAAGATCCATGTGGAGGAGTATAGTTGAAGAGTATAATTTATGTTTAAAAGAACTTTTCACTTATTTTCCAAATTGATAAGTATCACAAATCTTATCATTCTCAAATTTTAAATTTGGTAATCCTTTGACAAAGCAATTTTTGAAATTTTTTTAGAGAAGGTCCATGCTAACAAGTCCCAATCTCCTATATCACAACCAAGTATCCTCTTTTAAACTTGATAAATATTTTTCATCACTTTCAAATTCAATATCTATGATACAAATATCTTTACTTTGGCTTCCTATAAATATTATCTCTATTGATGTAGCATCATTAATAAGGTATTGGGAAGAATCAAAATTAACATGATATCCTTTATCACATAATTGATTAATATTAAGCAAATTATGTTTGATGTTATCTACTAGTAAAATATTTTCAATTGAAGAAGAATAGTGATTACCAATATTTCCAACTCCAATGATTCTTCCATTTGCAATATCGCTAAATGTGACATGACCTTCATCCTTCTTTTTGAAGTTTAACTGTAACGTTCTATCTCCGGTCATGTGCTTGAGCATCCATTATCCAAGAACTATTTGCCTTTCATCTTCTTTGGTACCTCATCTTCGATTGCTATGAAGTACATGCTAGTGACTTCTTCTTGACTATCATTTTTATTGCAAGCATCATTGTCGTTTTCATCTCAAGTCGCTTGGAGTGCCTTTTTCTTAATACTCACTTTTTTGTTTGGGCATTCGGTTCTCTTATGACCAGGTTTGTCACAATTAAAGCAGATGATTTTCTTATATTCTTTCATCACTCTTTTCCTTTTTCTTTTGAAATCTCCAATTATTTTGAAAATCTGTCCATTTCTTGACAAGAAGAACTAGATCATCGGTCTTTTCATCATTCATATTTTCACTTGTAGTTCTTTCTGCAATGTCGATTTTAAAGCAATTTAGCTCTTAGGAGGCACCTTTGATTATTCTTTGCTCTTCCTTGTTTTCTCCTTAGTTTTGATGTTATTGAGCTCATAATTCATCAAGGTTCCTTAAAGTTCTTTCAATGAATATGAGTTGATATTCTTTCTATTGTCTATCAACATCCTTAACGAGCTCTAATCTTCTAATAGTGATTAAGCTTTTTACTTATAAGTTCGCCATTAAATTTACAATTAAATCCTTTAAGATCATTAATGATATTGGTGAAGCGAGTAATCATATCAACAATAGGTTCAACTTGTTCCATGAAGAAGTTTCAAATTCTTTAACTAAAAGATCGATCTTGGTCTTCTTAACTTTACTAATACCAATATTAGTAACCTCTAATGCATGCCAAATATCATGTGTGGAATCACAAATACTAATACGATTAAATTCATTTATGCCTAAAGCACAATAAAGTAGATTTTAGGCTCTTTTATTTATAGCTAATTTTCTTTTATCGTCTTCGTCATACTCATATCTAAGTTTTGGAATGGTTTGATCAGGTTTGCCATCAATTTTAATAATCTTTATAGGCACATAAGAACCATATTAAAAAACTTCCCAAATGTTATAATTTATTGATTGAACATAAAATCATCATTCTAGCTATCTAATAATTATAATGTATGCCATCAAAGAAAGGATGATGAACTGTTGAATGCCCCTCAAGACTTTGAAGATTGTGGTTAGCCATTACTCAAGATTATAATTTTTTTTTTATTTTAAAAGTGAGCACCAAGTTTTGATACAAATTAAAAGCCCAATAATAGCTAACCAAGATTGAGTGAACTGGTTTTCCAAAACTTTTTCAAAAAATTAATTCATAGTATGAATAAGTTTGGAATAGATATATTAATCAAAGTGTACAAATATGAAAGCAAAAAATAAAAGAGAAAATCATGTGCAAACTATATAATTGTGAGGATCGATCCAAACCGATGATTTAAGTCCTTCGTTATTGAGCTCTTCATTATGAACAAGACATTTTCACTAAATTTGATTGACTTATGGTACAATCCCAACCTTTACATGCCTTTGGCAACTTAAATACAAGAAGCATCGACATTATACAATATTGAGCTTTTCCTAGACCTTAATGTGATCAACAAGTTTAAAGAGAAATGATTTTATAGTTTGAAACTTAAATGATATAATAAATTAAATAATAGGAAAATAAGCTAACACTTTAATGAATAGCAATGAATAAAGCTCAAGTATTAGGTGAGATAAATTTTGAATAGAAAAATGTTTTTTAAAAGTTGATTCAATCAAAAGTTTTTCAAAGTAAATGATTTGTTGAAGATAAATAAGATGAAAGATCAATAGTTTTGCTCTACAGTATCTCACGTAAATGCTCTTAGAAATTTTTTCAATGAATGCAAAGTAAGATGGTATTTATAGAGTACAAAACGCCAAAAGTTCAGGGTAATCGGCCAAGCAACCAGATGTTCGCTTTATGAGCTGGACGACCAAGGTAGTCGTTGTGCTTGGATGAATCAAACGTCCGCATCGATGAATTTTTTATTTTTTTTTCAAATTTTTCCTTCTTGAATTTTTGAAAAATGTAAGGTTTTAAAGGACTTTTTTCACTTTTTTCTCAAGGTAAGTGATATTGTAAAAGATGTTCTAAATTTGAATTTTAAATTGAAATTCTTACCTCTTGAAGAATAATTTTTATACAAGTGTTTATACGAAAAAATTCGTGCATATAACTTATTCGCTGAGTTTTCAATAATTCATTGTTAAAGATTGGAGCGTTGTACCTTTACATGTGAATACTAACATCTAATCCAATATCTTTTATGTTTGACTATGAAAGTTCTTTGTCTCGAATGATTTTTCTTGAATGTCTGACTTCCATCTTGATTTTTATCGAATATCCGATGCGAGTCTTTTGATAGTGATATTTTGTCCTTAATTGATTAGCTTTGCAACAATAGTTTTCAAGATTTAAATTCAATTGTTCGATATACAATTAGCTTGTTCTTATGATCAAAATATTAAGGATGAAGTCAACCATAGGTCAACAGAATCATGGTGTTGAATAATATTACTTATTTTAAAACGAATAATGATATCTGATACTAGTGATGTTAGAGTTCAAGTTTATGTGATATTATGTGAGATGTTTAATTAAACGTGAAGTTATGTGATTTATTTGATTGAACATGTAATTTCATGTCACTAATGTTTGCACTTATACATGCGTTAAATATTAGTGATACTAAATAGCATTACTCTAAAATGACTTTTGGGCAAGACTCTCCAAGAGAATAAATTTAGGGATATTCCAACATTACTATTGTTCAAATTTTAGACTTTTAGTGCAAACTAGTCAAAGTTGAACGTGTTTTGCACATTATTTTAAAATATTTTATAAGTGATGTAGAAGTAATATTTGATATCAATTGTTGTTGGAAGATTTGATGAGTTTCGAACGAATTAAAGAAATAAAATTTAGCATAGAAATTTAAGAGAAAAATTGTACTCAAAATTATACTTTCAAAACTCAATTTCTATGATTGAAATTTTTTGTAATGATGAAATACTATAAATGATCAATCTTTTAAATTACAATTGATACATAAAAATTAATGTTAATACACAAATTTAAACGTCCATTCAAATTTTTAGATACATGAATATGAATAAATTCATCTATAATAACTCTATATTCATATAATTCAAGATTCATCAAGTGAAGATTCATTGAATCTATATTAATGTGAATGTTAATTAATTGAAAATTAATAACACAAATTTTATAAAGGACAATAATTATGTAATATTTATTAAATATTGAAAAATGAAAAGTGATGTATTATTGAAATAATTGAATTGTAGGAGGGTTAAAATCATCCAAAAAATAATTCTCCCTTGATGTGATACTTTAATATATATTATAGATGTGAGACGAAAACATAACAAGATGACTAAAAAATATTATTAGCGTTTCACATGCACGAGATTCGACAATCGAAATACGAAGGTCCTCAAAAATCTTGACATGGAAGAAAACAAACTAGCATGGATTATGTCATATTATAAATTTTTATAATTTCAAAAAATGGTAATTTATGCAATTTTATTGATAGTTAAGTGTATCCTATTGTAATTGAGATGGAAATTATTGATAATGAAAGTATAATGATGTAACTCATTGTGAAGTATTATTAACCTGTGATATAATTAATAATAATCAAATAATAAAATAGATTTTTTACATTTCTATATTCATTTTAACTTTCACATTGATATATTCAAAATAAACATATGAAAAAAAAAATTAATAGGCTAAAAGACTCATCCTTCCCGAGTTGTGTGAACCACGCACGACTAAGCCCTTGTTTGAGCCACATTCCTGTTAAAAATACGTTTTTGAATAATGTATTGATGAAAAATGTATAGTTAAAAAATAAAGAAAGCTTATGGATTTGTGTATAATATTATTTTATTGAAAAATACATAATTGAAGTGGGGTCAAATCATCATTGAAGAATTTATTTTGATGGAAAAAATGAGATTCAAACAAGCGCTAAATTTACACTCTTAACAAAGATTTGTCTAGGTAAATCGATAACAATCATAAATATAATTTTTTATTTTATGTTTTTGGTTGCTTGATTTTTGGTGCCTATCAATTTTACCACAAATTATGAGCCTGTTTGACAATTATTATAATAGAAAAAAGAGTTTTGAGCACTATTTTTAAGAATGTGCGGTTAAAAATAGGATAAACCTTTTTGTATATGAATAAAATATTTTATTGTATGAATATAATTAAAAATGATCATATAATAAATCAAAAAATAAATTAATGTTCGTCAAACAGGGTCTGAACCTTTAGAAGAGTAGAATTCTTAAAAAACGGAGGTAATTATGTGAAGATGTCATTTTCAGAGAGATGAAAGTTAAAGAAAACAATATCAGAATCAAAGCGGGAGAACAATCAACTTAAACATGATTACGGAAGATTAAAGAGTATAAAAATAAATTCTTTACCTATAAACATTTTCCAAATGAGGAAAGGTAGGGAGAATACTCTCTTCCCGAATATAGAAAAATCCCAATCCAACTCACAATTTAAGAGTGGAAAAAATAGAAATAAATCTTGAATTTGATTTCAAAGATATAGCAAAATCAAACAACACTTGAGTGAAATTTTGTGGATCTTAACTTGTGAAGTGTGTTTTTTCCCAAATAAAGTAGACTGAGCATAAGTACCTATTGAAGTTTGTAATTTATTGCCCATAAATTTTGTGTTCTTGGGACTCTGCCAAATTAGTTTTAATTTTCATATTTTTCTGGAGATTGCAGACTTGGGTTTTTCAAGATAAGGCAGAAAAATACCCAGAAAAAGTTTGATTATCAAATCATGGAATTTTTTGGATGAATTCGTGATCATATTACAGTGTTGGAATATTAAAATGGCGGATCTGTATGGAAACAATGAATCAGAAGACATGTCTTCTTTTCTTCAAATTATTCTTCAAAATTCATCAGATGTTGCTGCTGCTGCTACTTCTACCCCAGCTGATGGCCTGTTCAGCGACACCGGGGCCGCGGTTCCGGTGGCAGAGTCTTCCTCTACCATCAATTTTTCTGATCCCAGCAATTTCTTTGCCAAAGAATCTGATGGGATCAGTTCTTCAGCAAAACTTGGAAATATTGGTTCCTTCTTCGAGGTATACAAATTTGAGCCTTTTAAGTAGTTTGGAACTGTTTTATTGGTTTCCGTTTTTGGTGCTGATGAGATATTTTTGTTTAAATTCTGAGGTCTTAACTTTGGACTTTGATTTAGTTGATAATAGTACAGTAAATTTGTGTAAAATCCAGTTCTCAAGGACCGATTTTCGGTTCAGATCATATGAGTTAATAGTTAACATGCAGTTTNAAATTATGATGCAAGTTTCAATTATGTCATTTGATATCGGCTTTTGTCATGCAATTCTCGTTGGATCTTGCTTAAAGCATGCGCTCTTACTATAAGCTATGAGATTTACAGGCAATTTCTTTTCACATTTTTTGTCATACCTCTTCGGGTTTGTTGTCTCAGTTTTATCTTTGTTCCTTGGATAATTAATGCGTATCCACTTGGTAGTCACAACAGCTGCTGAGGATTGTAGTCTGGATAAACTACTTTTCTCTGGGAAATGACAAATGGAGCAAAATATTATTCTTAGTATAGTGGCTGAACACGATTTCTAATATAAATTTCACTTGCAGGATACCTTCTCTCCTCTTGTTATTAAAGAATCTTTCATTTCCTTGTTTAAGGATTAACTGCTCTAGAGGGTGACATTAGCTTTTCTTAGTGGTTTATCTTTCCATTAGAACATGTTAGATATTTTTGATTGATCTTACTAATTGCAGTCAGCCATGTAGTGCTTTCAATGGTCACACTGTATTTTCTCACAAATATTATGGTGGAATTAACTCTGTTATAAATATATTTGGTCATCAACAACAAATCAGGAAACTAAGCCTCGCTCTTAAGAAAGTTGGGCTGACTTGAATCCGTTTTCTTTAATTGCTTCAGTTCATTGCTAGGTCTGAAAGAGTTTTGGTCTCTCCCATGCTCATTCTTTGCCTTAATGGGATTGTTCAAACAAACATCAGAAGAAATCTATGCCTTTATTGGAAATCAACCAAATATCCCTTTACATTACATATTAGAATGTTGTATATTTATCATTCTTGTATGCTATATACGTGTGTGAGTAATGAATATTGTTTTGGTTACGATAGGGTCAGTTCCTCAGCCATATTAAATTTGTATGATATGTTAGAAGGGACCTTACCTTGGCCTATGGCTTACGGTGTCATAACTTTACCTTTTTTGATGGTTGGACTTCAACTTCTATTTCACCCTCTGTAACAAGCATTGAAATTTGATAGTAACAATGTGGAAGTGGGAATATTCTATTTTATCAAATTAGCCCCGTATTTTTGGTATAAGGTCTCCTCATCGAGCATTAGCTATAATTGACCTGGTTTACTGTTTACAAAAACCAAAAATCTCTATGAAGATTAAAAGCATAAATGAAACCAGAGATTTACCTGTGCTGAAGGGTCAAGAAGTCAGTGATATGATGACACGGGATCCACATACATAAGTGCGAGTGAAAAATGTTTTTACAATAACGGCCTTAAGGAGCTGAATTCCTCCTCGACTAAATGCATGTTGATCTACTCACTCTCATCGAGAGACGTGTGCTGTGAAGCTCTTAGAAGATCTATACTAATTGTAGACTAGTATACCCTTCTTCTGAGCTTGTTAGTAATAAAAATACATTTTCAGATGTTGACTATGAGAAACGGATTGAGTTTGCATCCAGGCTACTTACCGGGATCACTGCCATCAACATTGGTGTCCCAATCTGGTGTGGCCTTTGATGAAGGGAACATATTGCTCAATACGAGTAGACGAGCAGATACTCTTTCTCAGGAGCAAGAAATTTTCAGAGAAACAGCATTTGAAACTTCCCATCATGCTTCATCATCCCAGCCAATTTTCATACCCTCCACGACAACAAACTTCAACTCTCAAATTCCAGCTGGCTTCACACCACCTGTTCAAAATAATTACGGACTTCTCAATCATCTGGCATCTTCCAAGGTAACACTGCTCTATACTTGAAGTAAACTATGATCTTTGACAATATTTTTCATGATTGACACCATGTTCCCCAGAATTTCCAGGATATTTGCCGGGATGGTACGCTATCGCGCTTCCAGTTGGATACAAATTTCTCTGGTAACAATTCATCACCAGGCGTGTCTTCATAGAGAATGAGTAAACGACGTGAATGCTGTTGTTTTGACTGCTGGTGACCATCGCAAAGTTGAAACTACCATTGTTTTAATATTTAGAAATTGCAATTCGCCTGAAAACTATGCATACTGACCTTTTAAGATTAACTGTGTCAATAATGCTCTAGGGAAGCGTTATTGAACTCTTCTTAAATTACTGAATAACATTTTAGATTATTTCAATGTTCAGAGATTGGAAGTGTAGGGTGTTGAATATATATTGCTGATAGGGGATTTTTTTCTCCTTCCATTTTCATGATTAAAGTGCTGGTAACAGTTGCTAAAAAGCTCCATTTTCATTTGTATAGTTTCAATGAACATTGTTACAAATCGGATAATTCATCCTTGAAAATTGAAATGTAGATGATAGGCATGATGAGTTAGTTAGAACTGTAAATTTCGAACAAAAACGACATGCGTTAGGAGGGATATCAAGAAAGGTGAGCGAGCCAAGATTGGCCCGCTTGCATCCAATTCGGATTTAAACCCGCTGTGAGGCTTCAATTGTTCAGTCTAAAAATATGGTTCAAGGCTAGCTCGAATCGTGACTACACTACAAACTCGCCAATGTTGCAGTTCAGGATAGTGCATCCCGTTGTTCTTTCCTAACAAATTTTATTTTTTCGAATAACTTGGCTAGTCATCATGGTTTCAGGTTGGACAATCAAAGTTGACTCAACTTTATGGTGAAGAAACTTGTGAACCGGCTTGTATGGGATCGAGTAGGTTTCGATTCTGTTAGGTCAGCTTTGAAATCACCATCTACGTAAGGCTTCACATTTCTCGGATTGCGCTTTCGAGTTCTATGTTAGGGAGAAATTATTTAATAAATGTAGTTAACTCTTTAAAATAAATATGAGATACTTTCTATTTTAAAGAGTTAACTCTTTAAATTGACATTTTAGTTTAAAGAGCCAAACTCACTTTTTATAATTAAATGCACTCTAAGTGTTTTAATTGAAAATGTAAGAAAAATAATTTAGAGAAAAACTTGTTAAAATAAAAGATAGAAAAAAATAATAAATATTTTTTAGAGTAGTAAAATTAAGTGTTATATATATATATATATATATATATATATATATATATATATATATGTTGAATGTCATTTTCATTCATTTTTGACAATTTTACCCTCCTTTACAAATAAACAAAAAGAAAAAAAATAGAGAAATAAGTGCAACCATGGTCCAAAATTTTCAAAAATGAGTTACAAAATTGTTTAACTCTGTATAAAACCAACAATATGAAAATCACCAGCAATTGGCAAAACCACCAAACGAAGAACAAATTTCAATGGAGGAATGCCAAGACCACCAAGCTGAGTTTAAATTAAAGACAACACTCAAAATCAGCCTTAAACATGGACGCAATTGCAATGGAAAAATAGGGGCCTACTATGTTTTGGTCGGACTGAACCAAAGAAATCCTAACAGATTTGAACTTATGAAGCTCCAACAAGGACAACCAAGTTGCTGGCCAAATAAGAAACTGCAAAGATGGAGCTGGAATCTGGCCAAACAAAATGACTAGGAATCTAAAGGAGCTCAAATACCTTTGACAATGAATGAATAGTCTCACTCGAAACTTTAATGAATCTAGACGAACTGTAAAAGACCTAAACTATTGAAATGAAAAGGTTTGGTGATGAACAGAGCACATTATTGTATTTGTACAAGAGTCTTTCCTTTGAGGTGTAATTGAACTAGGCCATACTGGGGTGGAGTATGTTTGAGCCAAGTATACAGCAACAGCCAGAAGTATCGCAGGTTGTGGCAAAGCCAGTGTGAAAGTAGCATGGTTGCAATTTGTAATTTTTTGAAAATTTGTAACTCATTTGTAATTGTTTGAAAATTTGGGACCATTGTTAATTCTCTATTTTTTCTTTTCTTTTCTTTTTGTTTTATTTGTATAGGAGGGTAAAATTGTCAAAAATGGATGAAAAAGACGTTTAGTGCAAAGAAAGCTCGAAGGTAGATGCAAAAATGTCAAAAAATTAAAGATATGGACTTTTTCACAATAAATTTGAAAGGTAGGAATGTTTTGTGCCAATTACCCTATATACACACACACGCACATACAACAATTCAACAAATCTAATTTAATTCTTGAGGCTTAACATTAACTTTCTCTTAATAGATCATTTTCTTCCATGTTTGATTACTAATAAATTGGTTGGAGACTGGAATTTCTGCCTCCCATTTGGTTGAGCCTCAAAATAAAATCTATGAATCCACTAGCAATTCGCTGAGTATAACGTGTAGTCGAGGAGAATGAAATACAAAAGGCTCGCAAAAAGCTTAGGATCCATTTCCCTAACCTAGGCTGGCTACAGGTTATCGATGAAAGGCACATGGGCCAATGAATAAAGCATGATGTTTAACTCAATCAGTTAGTGTAAGAGCTAATAAGGAGTCGACATTTGTCGTTATCTCAAAATGACTCAATTACCCTAAGACTTGGAGGAAAATCTATAAATATCTCCTCATTTGAAGATAAATGTATGCTATTCAAATCTCCATCCCAAATATATATTTTCCTTCTTGCTCCGGTTTGAGCCAGGCCCGGTCCTGGGCCGAGGCGAATGAGGCCTCAGCCTTGGGCCCAAGATCTTAGGGGGCCTCATTTTCGCCCCCTTTTTTTTTTTTTTTTTTTATCCATCCGGCCCAAATGAAACCCAATCCAATAACTAAACCAATCCCAACCCAACAATACATAAATCCCAACCCAACAATACATAAATCCAAATCAAATCCAATCCATTCCCTAAATTCCCAAAATAACTCACGTGAAAAATTCAAGAACTGCCTCCAGGCTCCAACTCACGACTGTGAACCCACCGTGACTCCCCTCTCAACATTGACACAGTCCAGGCGTCCGGTGAGTGACGGCGACGGTGAGACGGTGAGTTCACCACGAATGTTATCTTCCTTGTCCCTTCTTCAGTTCTTCTGGCGTTTGCTTCTGCTGAGTGTTGGTTGTGCTGCCTACTGCCGAGTCACCTACTGGCTACTACCTAGTTCGCTCTTCGCTGCTCGCCTCCGCAGGACCGCAGGCTGCAGGTCCACCGTCCGCCGACCAAGTCCACAGAAAGCCCCTTCCCTCTGTAACTCTGTCTGGCTCTGCACTCCACAGATTCGGTTTTTTGCCATTTGTTTGCTGGTTGATAAATTGTTGATTTTGTTTGTTTGAATTTTGATCCTGAGCATTTTATTGCTTTGATGTTTCTTTACATAATTTATAATTACATTTATAGATCTGCTATCTAGTTCAAGTGTTCATTTTCAATTATAGGGTAAATGGGTAATGATCTAGGGTTTGAGACTTTTTACAGCTGAAACTGAAATTGTTATCAAAATATCAAAATTAAGAGTAGATTGCTAATTAATATGATATTTTAATATGTCTCATAGGCTAACCTTTATGTTATGTGTATTGAATTTGAAGACTTCGTCCCATATACTATAGACGGGGATATTTGAACATTGATACAGATATATGCATGGATGATGTCATGATGCTCAGTGTGCAGAAGTGTCCATCACCTTTCAAAAATTTCTTACTAAATTTTGAAGAAGATCACTTTTTCCAGGCCTTGATTCTTGTTGAACTGAACCTATGGAACAAGTCTAATTTTCAGAAGACATACAATTTTGATCTTCTGCAAAAGTTCTTTGTTATAAGAAATAAAGTACAAAAGTTACATTTCTTTCTAGGATTGATATCTGTTGCTTAAGGGTTATTCACCATTTTAAAATCCTTATTTCGTGCATGTGTTTTTACTCTTGAGGCATTGCCACTCAAGAAAAGTTCACTAGTCATATAATTGTATTAAAAACGTGAGGATTTTATATGATACTAATTATCTAAAGGTCTCTGATTTACTTGAAGTAATGTTGTATTCACTTTTCACCTTGTAAACTGGCCCATATCCACCTTGTCCAAGCTTGTTGTTTTCTGAAAAATTATTGGTGGCTTTTGAAATTGTAGATGCGCGGTACAATGGCAGCTCATAATCTTTCTTATGGCTTTCAGTTCTACTTCCTGAAACATGGGTAGTATAAGCATGTAATTTAGCAGAGAGAAGTTGAAAAGTGAGAGTATTCTAGACCTAGTATTAGTTAACCTTTCACCATAAAATGGCACAAAGTTACCCACCTTCTGTTCTCCATATTGTGCAATTTTTCTTCCTTTTTCGATAATATAGCGTCAAGCTCAGGCCCAGCAGAACCACCCCCATCGCTGTCAAACTCGATATCAATATTTTTCTTCCCTTTCCTTTAGAATCTGCAGAAAGTTCAATCCAAAAGTACTTATAGTCTTTCATAATGACACAGATCATTCTCCTTTGTTCTCTTGTTTTAAGTGGTCATTATCAGATTGCTCTTATGTTTATGTAAATAATTTTTTGGCATCAAATCCAGTATTTCAATATGACCTTTATTCTCGTATCATATGATGTTAGAGAAAAGATAAACATGTTACTTACCTTGCTCACATAAAAAGTTTGCTAACTGTCAGAATTATAACTGAATAAGGTCATTGATAGCATAGTGCACCGAATTATTCATTGATTGTTTAGCATATTCTTACCCAATTCAGAAGAAGCCATTCTAATGTAAATATCTTGTCCGTGTGAAGATAGATCTCTGATGTCAATCAAGTCTTCATACCAAAACAAGCATCCACTTCCCTCTCCGCTGATATCTAACTGCGTATACGCCATACAAGAGCAATCCTTTAAGCACTCCACTTTGCATTCTTCAAGAGTCATACTCTTGTTATACTTGGAGTTTCGGGAATCTGGTAATTTAATTCCTGAATACTTCAAAAATATGTCACCCTTTAAACAATTCAAGGGTGTCCTTCGGTTGCAACCATTCGTCCAATCTGACCTACTCCAACCTTCTGGATCTTTTGGCTCAAATTTATCAAGACATACACATGCAGGAGTATTTGCAATATTGCAACTACCATAAGCACCGCACAATTTGTAAGTATCACAATTATCTGCTGGAAAATTGACGTAAGGGATCCAGTCATGGATCCGATCGACCCATGTCCAACGTTGCATAGTACCAGACTGAGTCAAAATAATCCTTGAAATAACTGAACTGTCAGTGGCCTCTAGCCTATGGTATACCTTGTCCTTGTTCATGATAAATACAAATCTGAAATTCGTATCCTGCACTGAGTTTGTTTGCCCGCTAAAGGCAAGACCATTCCATGGTCCCAGTCTATACAGAGTAGTTGGACCTCTTTTTATGACTAGCTGTGGATATCCAGTTGGATCCAAATGAAATGTAAAATCCCCTCTAGCTGGATCGTCATTGGTCTTCCACGATGACAGGTAGCTCTCTACACCTGTTACAAAGTTCCAACCAATATTCACGCCTGGTAGGGACGTATCGCTTAGATAATCAAAACTCTGCCAAAGAAAATTATCTGGACGATCATCATTTGCTTCTCTAAGGACAAGATTTCCAGTGTCCAACAATTGTAAAACCGGTGTCCGAGCAACTCTTGATGTATTGGAAGACCATATGATGTTATTAGTGTCATTCAGAACGACCAAGATACCCGGCTCCATTACTTTCAAGATGCCTGATGAACTTCTTACTGGAATTTCCCTGTTGGCTACCCAAACTGCAGTGCTATTAGGTATCTTTTGGTACCAAATTCCCACATACCGATTATTGGAGTTACCAGGGCTGAAAAATCCCAGTTCAAATCTTCCCCCTGATGAAACCAGGGTGTCGCCATCTCTAAGAATCTGAGTTGTATTAATGATATCTATAGCTGTCGAAATCTTGAGGATGGATGGTAAAAATGATAGGAGAAGAAGAAACGGTACATGTTTAATTGGTTTCTTCATTGCCTCTTGGGCATACAATACAACTAAAAGAATTTCAGATTTGTTCACTGATGGAAAATTGACAATAAATTGTTTAATTTATTGTATAATAATAATATAGAATGCTAGTCTGTAAAGTAAACTAGTTTGAAATTATTAGCTACACGAGTTTGAAATTTTTAATAATCTATTAGTTTATTCCTCTTTTTCAATCATCAGTATTTTTA